GTACAATTGATCGACAAAGTCTTCAAACAAGGGGTTGTGGGCCCTCGTAAAGCTCGGTTAACTTTCGCGTAGAAATGAAATCGTTAGTAACATCGGTAACTAGTTCCGCGCCTAGCGAGAGTTGATTGACTCCTTTCATTACCTCAAACATTGATTTTACGGAAAAGACATCCTAACACATTACCGGTTTTCGCTCACGATGTAATTGATAAACATAAAAGTTGATTAATTCTATAAATTAATAAAAATAATTATTGTCATATTTTTATTAACTTTTCTCCATTTCTTGAAATTATTTATTATCGTGTACGAATATAAAACAGCAATTATTTATTATGCAATATGACATATACATTTATTAAAATAGTTTTTATCCTTACTCGTTCAAAAAATATGCAAATATGAATGAAGAACGTAGTATTTGTCATTTTTTCCCGTTAAATTCTGTTTCAAGTAAATCTCAAAGATTTTTGACAGAGAATTCTAAAAAATTTCTTTTTAGATAAAATTTAGAAAAAATATATATTACAGTATATATAAAAATATATATACTCACGAAAAAAACGGTGGCTATTTTGATTGATTATTTCGATACTATAATAAATACAAAGATACATCAATTTAATATACGTTATAAAAAAATTAAGACTCACCACTGGACAGTTTCACAGGCTATGACGCATTCGGGGTGTCGATGTTAAATCATAATAATCTATTCATGGGGATGTAGGGTTCAGTCTGTCACGTGTTGCAACCTCACTCACCAGTCACGTGTCTACTACATCATATATGTTTTTTTTATAGAAATAAAATAAAGTAAAAACGCTTTTAGAAATTATTTATTTATAATTTTAATCGATTATGCATTCACATACATCGCAAAATCGATATTTTGTTTATCCGTTCTGATATAGTAAAATAGATCTCGATTTGTACTTGCCTACGATCTCACATTTAGCATTAAACTGTCGTATAATTACTTCATACACGTATTAAGCATTTACGATAACGTACAATGAGCATTTTTCTCTTACTAGACACAATTAAAGCTCTTCAATGTCAACAAAATGAAATTTACATGAATGATGATACATCATCGACGCGACTCGCATTGTAAATATGATTAAATTTGAAGAGAGATTCCGGACCGTGTTTGGTTAATGATAAGGTAAACATGCGACATATGTCACAAGTTACGCATGCACAATACATGAAATGCAACCCCCGATACGTATTTTAACTCGCGTGCACTGGCATTAATCATCACGAAGTAAATCGATCGATAACACGACAATGTACGCAATAAAGTATAATTTATTTTTTAATATCGAGAAGAAAAAAATGGAAAAAAGAGAAAGATATTCTTCTCATTTTTCACAGGATTCTGATAACTGATCTCATTATAAAAAACTCTTCTCCGCGATAACAATAACATAGAATTGCATTTTATGTTCAAAGTGGAACGCAAAATCCGTTCTCGCAATGTATGTATGTTGTATAATTTCTAAAACGCTAGAATCTATAAATTCTTGCAGTTAATGTTCATCATTGTTATATAATAAATATTAAACAAGCTGATGCAACATTTTAATCGACATTCGAGTCAAACAAATATCTTTGGTTTTTCACATATATGCTACGTTGTGTAATTCACGTTTTTTTTTTAAATTACTTTTAATTTCTTACAATCTTGTGTTTAGATACATGATATATTTACGTGATATCATTTTAACACATTAGACTTGGAATCTTAATCATTGGACATTGGACACGGCGATTATTTTCTTAATTCTCTCTAGATTTCATAATTTAAAATCGCAAAATTGCATCGATGATACAGCAATATCAATATCTGTAAACAATAAACGCGAATAATAAACTTTTACAAATAGACAAAATTTATTACGAGAACATACCGAGTAAAAATCACACATTAATACGTGTATTTTGAAATAATATCGATAAATCCATGGATCGTTGTTTTGAAAACATTTTGCATGCAACAAAATCACGTTTCGCGCACGATATGTCTGATTTATAGAATGCAACGTAAGAAATTTTCCGTAATCTCAAATTCTTGCAATATTTTTTCTCAAATATCGCAAGTGAATAACAATGTCATCGGGAAATGTTATCAGGGAGGATAACTTTTTCGATTTTCAATTTTATGATAATAATTAATCTTAATAAAATTCACGACAGATATATATATAATACAAAACAAAATAAATAAAAAAACGAAAATTGCAGTCTGCACGATCAAGGACAAAGATAAGCATCTTTTACGAAACTACGTGTCGCGAATATATCCGGGCGTTTGATGCGAATTCCCTCACGCTACGATTAAAGGCGCGTATAATCCCGTTTCTTAATACATATAATTACTTTCTTCGTGATTAATCGATTCGAAATTCAAATCTTCTAATTATATCGTTAGAGTTTTGCAATAAGAAAAGTGTCTTAACATCTTTGTCGAGATTTCTTGAAATAAACATTGTTCTCTCGATGGACTTTGTTCCGTTAACGAAAAGAAAAAATGGACTCCCCTACATTTTGTTAAAAACTTGGTTCTTCACGACGTTACGGGACGAAGCATGAAAGCCGAGGAAAAAGCGATTATACGGTCTCATTGACCCATGAAGTCACAGTCTGTAAAAATTCAGATACATACAGACAGGCACTGACTCGATCCAGTTTGATATTCGATTCCTCTTCTCAGCGAAAACTTTGCAACGGAATTCCACGTTAAAAAAATTCCGCGGCGAAATTTGGACTTGTTATTTTCTCGCATTATAAAGAATCTCGCTCGTCCTTCTAATGCGGCTATCGGTTAGCACGAAGATCGCGAATGATGGACTCAAAAAAATTATTATTTTTACACATTTGTTATAAAACATGCTATTGACTACGAGATACGCTATCGTGCGATGCGTAATAAATGAAGATACTTAATAAAGTCTGGGTCGGCATTTGATACCAAAACGAAATTCTGCACTTTGAGTCTGACCGATTTCTGCACTTCATTTGTCACTTGTGACAAATACAATTATCTGCGAAATTATTGTCGAGCTCAAAGTCCAATGCTAACTAAAAGATGCCATATCGTCAATAGACGAAACAACGGAAACTACTAATGAAGCATGCTTATTAATGCGTTTTGAATAATACTAAAAAAGAAGTATATTCGCACATTCTATCATTTTTGGAATAATTTTGCACAAAGAAGAAAGAAAAATGTTGCTATTTAATATTTAATTATAAAGTTGTTTTAATTTTTTAATATTTTATGTTTTAATGCGGCGATTTCTCTCTTTCTCTCTCTCTCTCTCTTTCTCGCAGAATTATTTTCACGATTGTTTTCAAGATTATGCAAATCACGAAAGGAGAGTTTGAACAACCGGTTTCCTTCCGATTTTCTGGGATTCTTTCAAAAAAAATCAGATCTTCTTTTTTGAGCAAAACATAACTTGAGTACGATGAGATTGTGTCTAATTTCTGTTTTTTTTTTCTGCAAAGGGCTTCTAAAGTAACTGACATCTGCGAGCGAATAGGAAGTAGAAGAAGCTCAAGCTTACTACCAGACACTGAATGGCACCAATCGATATATGCCCAGAATATCACTGCCGAATACATTAGCTTGACTTCCGCGTGCAAAGACTTCCTTTGTACTTTAAGCTTTAAGTTGCCACGATGATTTGAAATTTGCCGCGTGAATCGACAATATGCTATAGTTTCCATTGGATAACATCATCCTTGAAAAGTACACTCTATCCATGCTAACCATTCAATAAATTTCGCGCGTTCATTCTAGATCGCAGTTTCCGCTAAGAAGTATTCGAGAATCTGACGTGTGATTATCAGTCAAGCGTCCTTTTATTGCACTACAATGCTCTTAACATATTTTTTATACAAAAAGCTAACTCTCTATATTGAGTTCCGAAATCAATTTTTTAATTAAAAATTGCGATTCAGAACGGGTGTGTAAAACTAATTAAAAAAATATCTCTATATTAAAACTTATATAAAATATAGCGGATAATAAACTCTATATTAGATTCTATTTTTGCGATATTCATCAAGAGTAAACCGATTTTCCTAGAACGATATTATTATCTGTGCGGAGCGTGGAGGATGAAACGATCAATTAATGCGATATTGTGTTGATTTCCGGTGTATGATTTCGCAGCACGTTTAATTCACGCGATTATATATGCAGTTATCATCACCCCATATGAGAATTTCGCACACCTGGGCTAACAATCGCTACGAAAGATAAACCGCGTCTTCCTTTTCGCGAATATGCATCAATACCAATCCTCGCAGCTAATAATATATTTATTCAAAACAATAGTAATGATTATTAATTGATCGGTTGATTATACATACATACATACATAGATTATATATAATTATATGCATTATTGTTGCACGATAAAATCACTCACTTTAACGAAATTGAATTAATTAATACAATGTAGAATAATAATTTTTAAAATGTTTTATCTTCTTTTTGAATTTATTTGGCATTATTTAAAATGTATGCACATACAAAACAATAATCATTTGGATAGTTTTCCAGTATTCTATCTTGAAAACGATATCATCAGGAAAACAGAATAACTTTCAAAGATAAAAATAAAAACGCAGAGATAAAACATAATGCGTTCAGAATTTCTATTTCACCAATTTGTTTCGTCTTCATATCGTGATAACGGGGTATTTCGGTATCACGCAAAAACCGGCATGTAATCAATGAACAAGCTGACCTATATCGTAACTATAAAAAAATCTGAGCTTTCCTTCCAGCGGGGTCAACTATTATACTGGCAAAAATTTAGAAAAAAAAACTCGAAGAGGAAGATTAATCGTGTTATTTCGTTATATTAACCGTTTAATTGGTTTTAATCTGCTCTTAAGTTATCTCCAATAAAAAAACAGATTATTATTTCTATAGCTATAGAGAATAATTGTGATAAGCGCGAAGAGGGAATATTAATAATTCGTTAGAAATTGAGGGAAAATGTTAATAATATACAAAAAATCATATATATATATATATATAAGAAATGTATAAAATACATATAAACATGTATAAAATAAATTTAAAAAATCGTGACATTGTTAAAAAATAAACTGCTTAAAAATATAACGTTTTTTTAATAAGAAAAAAGATTATCGAATATTATATTACACTCAAATTGAAAAATCAAATCAAAATTAAATATGTTGCAGCCAGTTTCAAAAGCAACATCACAATTATCGGCACGAGGACAGATGGAAAGGCGGCGACCACCGTTTCTCAGAGCTTCTAGCAGAGCCAAGGAGGTAAAAAAGATTATTATATTATAAAAACATTGATATATATAAAAACACTTATTCAGAATATATAATCGAAAAAGAGATATTAAAAGATAAGAATCTGATGATGTATGAAAGACGCATACATTTTTTCTAATCTAAAAAATTTGAAAAAATTCTCTATATTATACTAAAATTAATTTTTTAAAAAGAATTCCATATTTTTGTCGATTTACAGATTTATAAAAGTTTTGTATTCTACGATATAGTGTGTATAAAAATAAGGCACATTTAATCTATGAATCTATATGTGATTCATAAGCACAGGAGAGATTCAATGAATGTGACGTCACCAGGTTGTCATGGCAACCTACAGATAGTACTAGTAAACGGAATCATAACCAAAAAAAAAAAATAAAAATAAAAACGTTTAAAGTGGTGTATGATTTTACTGTAAAGACAGGAAAAATATAAACAATTTTTAAAATTTATAGATGTCGAGATGTATATGCTAATATAGATAATTTTCTCAAATTGGAAGCACTTTCTTAATAAAAAAAACACGAAAAAAAATGCACATGACTCTAATGTTTGTTTTTGATGGTAGATCATCCCCTATATTTATCAGATGTATCGTATTTCTTATCTCAATATGATACTTATGCATATCAATATTAATAATAATAATAATTTAGGATTGGAATAAATTATCGCATTAAAAAAAAAAAAAAGAAAAAAGAACGAAATGAGATTTCTTTATAAGAATTGCTTTATCTTGCACATTCATCAGTTTCTGTTGTTCGTTTGCATTAATATTGTATCAGGTAAAATTGGAGAAATATATTATTGTGGTAATAAAATATAAAATATTTAACTCTTTAAAGAAAAAATAAGGATATAATTATATAGCATTGAAGTGAATTAGCAAATCATGCATCTATAGACAGAACGAGACAGTGGAACAAAGATGGATACTGTACGTAGTGGGGGTGCCATAGAGGAACAGGGTAGTGATGAAGATCTGTCACCGGATGCTTTGGTTAGACAAAATTATGAGCTCCGTCATCGTTTGGAACAGGAGGCTGCAAGTTACAAGAGACGTTTGGACACTTATCGGCAGGCTCAACAACACCAAGCTGCTCTTGTCTCACGTTTACAAGCTAAAGTAAGTACGGTAAATTCTCTTTATTAAAGAAACTGCAAGCTAATATGGAAATTACAAATTTGTTAGCGATAAACAAATAATAAATGTAAACATATTTTAGGTTTTGCAGTATAAACAAAGATGTTCAGAATTGGAAAATCAAATGGCGGAAACAATTCCATGTGATACTAGTAAACCAGCAACTGCCACAGTATCATCTACTTCCGTATTAGAGGCTGCTCATCAGACGCTTAGGGATATACGCGAGGAGCAAATTCATGATCTGGACACTGCATTGCAAAAACTTGGAGAGGAACGACGAAAGTATGTGAAAATATGATATAGATTAGATAAAACTATATCCTTTAATAAATAAATATAGTATAGATTATATTTTATTTTATAAAGAGATATTTTCCTTTGCTACAGATGCGAAGAACTTTTGCAACTAAATTCATCTCTAAAAGATCAACTCGAAGAATCTCATCAAACAAATGAAGCGTTAACTAACGATTTGCAGAAATTAAGTAACGATTGGGATGTATTGCGTGAGGAGTTGGCTATTAAGGAAGACGAATGGAAGGAAGAGGAACAGGCATTCAATGAATATTACATATCCGAGCACAACAGATTATTGAACCTGTGGCGTGATGTCGTGTCTGTTAAAAGATTGTTTGCAGAAATGAAATATGCTACAGAACGAGATTTGTCCAAATTGCGAAACGAAATTATTTCCTCATGTAATGAAATGACATCAGCGTGTAATAGTACAAGTTTTACTATGAAACTACAGGCAACTGCAATGCAATCGACAGTATAAAATCTTTTTATAATTATATTAATAACTATCTATATTTTTCTATCTTTTATATTGTATTTCCCTTCTCTACTTTATTTTCAGCCATCCCAGAGAGCACAACAACAGGAGAAAGAACAAGCTGATGTAACTGTTTTGAAAACAGAAATTACAGCACTTAAGCAACAACACACTGCTGATCAGCATGAAATTCGCACAAAAGACGATCGAATAGATCAGCTTATTCGAGAAATCCGCAATTTAGTAGATATAAATTTATCCTATCTAATTTATTAATTAATTTTGTGGCTAAACTTATACATATACATGTTTTCCGATATATATAGGAAGAAAGATGTGGAGTTTCTGAAGCGGCAGTGACTCAAACTGCGCGTATGCAAGAGGATATCGAAGTGTTAGAATCTGCGTTAAGAGATATCGCACATGCTGTGATTCAAGATGCCGAGTGTCGGGATACCGATATCAAACAGACACTTCCGCATATTCACTTATCATCTGGTGGAACAATTTCGCAAAGATCGCCGAAAAGAAGTGCAAGAAGCAACGCTATACCAGCACTCGCTGAGAGTACTATAAGCGCAGTACGAGCAGCTCTACAGAAATATCAATTAACTATACGCGAATTACAGGTATATGTATTATATAAGAAGAAAAAAATATATATTCTACATATCAATTGTTTACAAATGCTTTCTGTAATTTAGATAAAATTACAAACCAATAAGGAACAGCTTTTAACAATGCGCAAGCAATGCGATACTGCAGAGACAAACGCTCAGACATTAAATACAAAAGTGACAGAATTGATATCTCAATTAGATACTTGTCGTTCGCAATGTACACAGCTAAGTCAAGAGAAAGAGATGTTGCAGAAAAGTCTTGACACTGTAAAATTGGAGAAAAATGCATTGGATAAAAATAAAATGGAACTCAATAGTATGGTAGGATTCTAAGTATTCTAATCGATTTTTCCACAATTATTAATACAATTACAGGTATTAATTGATATTTATATTATAGCTGGAGGCTGTTAAAAATAATTATGAAAAACTTCAGAAGGCCAATAATAAATTACAAAAACTATGCGACAATCTGGAAGATGAAAAATTGTATTTGCAGAACGAGCTTAGCAGAGTATTACAGGATGCTGATTTAAAGTAAATAAATTAACAATTATATAAATCGTGCTTTAGTTCTGCTAAATTATTTATATATGAGAGCAAATATAACTTTTGTATAAAATAATTTATAGAGAATTGAGTTTACGGTCAGAGGAGGATAGATGTAGTAAGATGCGAGAAGAACTTTTGACACTACGAGAAGATTTAAATAAAGCTTATCTAGCTAAGGATATGTTGGAACAACAGAAATTAGAAACTGATGAATTAATCTCTCAAATCGAAAAAAACAAAGGTATCCTACATATTCTCACACATACACACACACATATATATATATAAATCTTTGATAAGTTGTACAAAAGTTATATGAATAATTTAGGTGATCTTGAATTGGAATTGGAACGGATATTATTGGAAAAGTCAGATATACAAGAAATTTTGATAAAATTAGAAGCAATATGCTCTAATCATGAACAGGATAAACAGAAATTGCAAGAAGAATTAAAAAAAGTAATCTAAATTTAAGATTATCTCAGCAGTAATGTATTTCATATTAATTATAATTATACTTGTCGTAGATGATGGACGAGAAAAATAAACTTGTGAGTCAATGTATGGATCAACAAGGGGATTTAAATTCATTAAGGAAAGAATTATTGCAAGCGGAACAAACTCGGCTTGATATAGAATCTGAGAAAGTTGCATTGAATGAGAAAATTAAATTTCTGGAGATAGAAAAGGAGAAAGTGGAGATAGAATTGGGCCAAGTGAGTCGCGAACGCAGTGATTTGAGTAATCAATTATCGGTTTTGGCGCGAAAGAAAGAAACATTGAATGAAGAGCTTATGAGACTTAGGCAAAGACTGGAACAGTCCAACGAAATGAATGCACGAATAAACAGAAACTTGAAAGATCTTGTAAAAGATAATGAGGAAAAACAGGCAAGAATAAGATTACTTATATGGATGTTACATGATATATCTTTCCGATATACTATTATAAAAATAAGGTAAAATCTTTTTTCGTTTCTATAGGTGCTTCTAGAAACAAATGAGAAAGAAATTCAAAGAATGCAAGAGCAACTTGCATCAATACGTACTGAAAAAGAAATATTGGAAGGAGTATTATTTGATACACAAACTAATTTGGAAGCTACACATGTTAAGAAAACACAGTTGGAGAAAGAGCAAAAAGAAACATTAATTAAACTGGAAAGTTTAAAAGGACAGGTGACACGATTAACAAAAGAATTAGAAAACAGTGAGAAACGTGCACAAGATATGAAACAATCACTTACACAACAGAGTGGTGATCAAATAGCAGAATTTCAACAAATTATATCGAATATGAAGAGACAGTCTGAGGAAAATGTGAAGAAAATGAGTGATGAAAAGGTACTTATTTATTTATTTATAGAATTTTTCTTTAGTTATCTATTATTACTATTAATAAATATTATTAAATATTACTATGTCCAATTATTACCTTGACATGTTGTACATCGAGTTATTATACATGTTCTTATTTGTTGTCCATTCCTTTGCATCTTACCTTTATAAGGAGCAAATAAGAATAAGTTTAGAGAAACGGTTGCAACAGTCTGTGTCACAATTGGAGGGAGAAAAAAATGAAGAGATTAATCAACTGCAACAAAGAATAGAAGAATTACAAAAACATATAGAGAATTTGTGCAAACAGCACGAGGAAGCACTTCTTAGAGCCGAGAATGATAAACAACAAGCACTTCTTATAGGTATGTATAACTAAATATTCTTAATTAGATCTTCATTAAATCTTTATAAAGTTAATATATATTTTTAATACATGTTCATACCTTAAAATATTTGACAACAAATTGGTTATAGCTCATCACGATCAACAGGCTTTAATTGAAAAAATTGACGCTATTATGCGTGAATTAGAAGAAGAAAAGAATATTCTGGAACGTGTGAAAAGGGAGGCTGCAGCACGCGCCGAACAAGAACGTAATAATACGAATCAATTGCGCGACGAATTAAATCGTCTCAAAACAAAGCTGGACGAAACCAAGTTGAAGGCTAACGAAGAAAAGCTGAAACTCGATTTGAAAATAGAGGAACTCTGGAAAGAACGGGAGTCCACGCAAAGAGAAGTTGAAGAATTGCAAGTTCAATTACATATGACGGAAGATAAAGTAGATGGACTGCAAAATCAGTTACACGATACTATTAGAAAACTTAAAGACGGTAATCAACTCTTTCCTTTATTCAACCTATTTAATTTTTTAATTATTTGTCATAATTAAAATGTATATAATTATAGCTGACAATGTTAATGAGATATCGCGCAAAGAGTTAGTGGATATAAAGAGACAATTAGCAGATACGACATATGAAAAAGAGAAATATAATAACAGTAACAAGGAATTACGGGAACGTATTAAGCAAATCGAGACAGAAAGAAGAGAACAGGGAAGAACATTGGAAGAATCGTATCAAAAAATAGCAAGTCGGTATTATCCTTTTTTCATACATATATAGATATTTAATGATTCAATATGTAGCTGCTAAAATATCTGCGTTTAGCATTGGAGGATACAAGAGCAACCATGGACGTTGAGAGAACGCGTTTACAAGCCCAAGTGCGAGATCTGGAACGTGATGCGCTGCAATTGCAACAACAGCTTCGCTTCACACAGGACGAATTACAGAAATGTCACGAGAATAATTCCCAAACTCAGAACGAAGAGAAGGAACTGCAGGCTAGATTAGCTAACGAGATTGAGGAAAGAGAGCGTATACAATTGCAATTGCATCAAGTGAAGAAACAGGTATAAGAATGTTTTACACGATTTTTTCATTCGATTCGATTAATATACATCGCGAGGTTTTTCCTCGTAGGTTGTCGACCTGGATAATAGTTTGGAAATTACACGACAAGAACTGGGAAAGTTACGCACGCGAGCGGACGAGGAAGATGAAAGATGGCGTACTCGAGAGCAAGAGTTGTTGGTGCGTCTCGAAGATAGTCGTTGTCGCGAGAGAAAGCTGGAAGATCAGAAGCACAATCTGGAAGTTTGCTTGGCCGATGCCACGCAGCAATTGCAAGAGTTGAAGGTATTCTCGAAGACGGATAACAAACAGATATAGACAACGCAACTTGCGTATTAAAATTAAAAGCATGCTTATAATATCAGGCGCGTCTTGGAGGTTCTGAAGGAAGGGTGAGAGCTCTCGATGCTCAATTATCACAATTGGAAACCGCTAAAAAGGAAGTAGAGCAAAAATTGAGCAGCGTAGGCTCCACGCTCCGCCGTATCGCCGGTATTCAAATGGACGGGAGCGTGAATATGCCATTTAAATTGATGAGTCCATCGAGAAGGTGGAGTCCGGCACGTGGTAATCTATGTAAAACAAAATCTCTTAGTTTAATTCGCAGCAACGAGACATTGTTATCTTACAGTGAGATGGTATATATGTAACATGCAGTTAATATATAACGTATTTTAATCAAGTACAAGATCACGGTGACACTGGTAGAGATATCATATTGGATGTCGATCCTGAAGCTATTAGAAAGGGTGTGCGAGCACTTATGCAACAAGTTGCCCAAATCGAACGCGAGAGAGTATGCTGAGTTTCGATAATTATAAGCTGATTATATAAACTATTGATTAATGTTACAATAAAATCTGATTTAATAAATTGTAGGACGATTACAAAACGGAATTGTGTAGCTTGAAGAAACAGCTGAAAGAATCTCAAGAGAATCAAAGTAATACGGATGTAAAGATCAATAATCTTCTAACTAATATTCGTACACTTCAGGAAGAGAAGAAATCTTTGGAGGCGAAACTGACTCAAAAACAAACTGGCCATCAAGCACAAGTATATCTATTCATATATCTTACACATTGAATGTACTAAATAGACATTAATATTTATTTATCTTTAGCTGGATGCATTGCAACAAAAAAGCGAAGAATGTAAACAATTATGTGAAAAATTGACAATTATAGAATTAAAGATCAGTACCGAATCAGAAGAGAAATCACAATACGAGGTATGATTTAAAAGAAATATTCATAATCATTATAATCTAAGTGTATATAATGCTTTATATTTATATGTAGGATAAATTGGAGAAAATGAAACACGAATTGAACAGATTGGAAATGGAAAAGCGTAATCTTCAGAAGGAGCTTCGCCATAGCGAGTCTCGCGCAACAGAAATGGAATTACAAAGAATGTCTCTAGACGGCGATTTCCAAAGGTTGCAAATGATGCTGCAAGAAAAAGAAGCACATATTCAAGTAAGATCCAAACATCTACGATTCTATGAAATGCTTGTTCTCGTGTACAAAACACATATATATTTATATTTTAGATATGTCATAATAGATGGCAAAACGCGTAACGATTCGTAGTAATTAAATTACAAATTCAAAGGATTGACAATTAAGATATTTATTGTCGCAGTTGCGCTTTAATTGTCCATAATACAATCTGTATTTTGAAATAAAGACATCTTTACTCGAGTCAAAGAATCAATTATAATAATTTGGTCAATAAAGACATTTCTTTGGATTTGGAATTTAAATACAAATCTTACAAAAGCTGTTTTTTCTCTTTTTCTTACTAGAAATTGCAAGATCGCTTTGATACGCAAAGCCGCACTATGACAAATCTAGAAGAACGTTGCGCATCCTTAAAATCTACCATAGAGCAATTAAAACTGGCACTAGAAAAAGCATCTGCTACGGAGAGCGAACTCAAGAGTGAGATAAACCTATTACAACATAATATAATAGAGATCACTACTTCTTCTCAAAGTAACAATGAGAAACTCAAACAGGTAAAAAACTCTATTTTATATAAGCTATTAGCTTTTTGCTCAAATTATTAAACACTATTTTATTTTCAGCTGCAAAAACAGCTTTCGAATACCGAAAACGAGCGTAGAATATTATCCGAACGCCTAGAAACGATTCAGCAGACTCTAAGCGAATTAAAACATACGAATCAATCATTGATTGATCAAAATGCGCGGCTACAGAATGAATTAGCTAATAATGAAGTGCAACGATCAGCTTTAGAATCACAATTAAGATTATCTACCTGGCCATCGGAAGGCAGTGCCACCAAAGATGAAGAATTATTACGTCAACTGCAAACTGTTCAAAGAGAAAGAAGCGAGATGAGAGGAAAAGTGGATGCTCTTAATGACAAGGTAAATGTAAATGATTATATTAATTTTATACAAGAATTACAATCTCCTGAAGAGAGAGAGAGAGAGAATCAAAAAATACTATCAGAAAAATGAAAAATTTCATATTCATATATAAAAGATACATATATTTTTTAATAGGTGAAACTGTTAGAAGCCGATAAACGTAATTTAGAACGTCAAATTACTGCGGGCAAAACGAGTGTTATTCGAAGCAAGAGTTACGAACGACCAGAGAAAGCACACATAGAACTTTTGGGCACTAGTTATAGCATTGACAATCTGGAGCATGAAAACAGAGAATTAAGATTAAAAATACGTAAATTGGAGACCCAATTGGCGGAAAAGGAGGCCGAAATTATACGAATCAAGTCAACTTATATATATTCTCCTCATTCGTTATTGGACACAAGTCGAGACAGAAGTGGAGAATTAGAACGGATCAGAGCTGCGCAATTGCAGGCCGAGAAATTATTAGAGGCGAGAGAACAAAGTCATCGTCAACAAGTATCACGTTTAGAAAATCAGGTACATATATCTATGACAGAACATATACATTTTTATTACAGAATATAGTGTCCCATCATATATCTATCACATAATTGCTTAAATTCATACAAATAAAAAAAAAAATATATATATATATTTTTTTTTATAGATACAATTATTACGAGAACAACTCAATCAAGAAATAAAACGCAGACAGTTGTACGTTTCACGGAGTTCACGGGCCGGTAGAGAAATGCAACAATTGCGACAAGCGTTAGGCGATTCTTTGAGAACTGTGGCACAAGATCCGTCATTAGATGCGGTATTACTAGAACACGAAGCGCGTAAATTAGACTCTACTTTAACGAGTACCACTAGTTTACCGCCGTCATTAGCTTTACCTGCTCCACCTTCGTCTTACAGATCCGGCACTCCGTCACAATTGAAATAATGTGAGAAGTAACTGTACTTTCTCTGGAAACTGCCAGTATCAACTAGTACTTATATATTTATATATACACGAATATATAAGTACTTATATAAGTAGTTATATTTCTTGAGAATATATAAAGTATAATCATTTGTGCACATAAAAATATTGTTAAGTGCGCTTCAATATTACATATCAAAGTCATTATTTAAAGAAGGAACATGAGATCATTAATTTAATTTGATAAACCATGAATTGATGTTTGTTGCATTTTACATTTTAAGACAATTTCACATTTACATTTTAAGACAATTTCAGATTTTTAATGACATTTTATTTGATATACGATTTTTATATTAAATATATTGAACTTTTAACAAATTTTTTATACAAATTTTATGCTTCCAAATGATTATATATACATATATATATATAAGATACAGACATATTTGGTATAGTTTATTAATGTGCATGAAATGTATGTTTATTAATGTATGTGAAAGTTTTTGTGATATGACATATATACATTTTACAAGAATATTTAGCTAAATAATAATATTTGCAAATTTCTTTTGCTATGTCAATTCTTGTCTAATTATATGATTATAAAGAAATAGTTGCATAAAAGTCAGTTTAATATTAGTTAACGGTTAATACACATAAAATGATCTCTTTTTATTATCTCATAACTTTTGCTTATATATCCAAAAGCATATATTAATATATAAATTATTATCTAATATTTAACAAGACTTTACAACAAAAGTTTTAATACAAGTTGTACTAGTCCACAATCCGTCCATTAATATTGTGATTAATTTACGTTCCCCGTTTCCAGCTCCATAAAGCTGAGAGACAATGGCGTGCCTCTGCAAACGAATGGTGTATGCGAAGTTCCATCTATTTGAAGTCTCGAACGACATATAGGTACATGTATATCCATGTATATGTATAAATCGTTCACGCTTACTGCGTATTGTGTCTAGCAAAACAAAGTAAATATATATATATATATATATATATATATATGTGTGTGTGTATAATATTGCATTGTTTTTGACGCAATTAATTGAAAAGATATATTATAAAAGGAAAGCTTGCAATTCTCATATAATGAGAAGTGCTTATAAAGTAGGTGGCAACAGTAAGAAAAAAATGCTATGTTTAGTCTCATTTTGAGACCAAAGAAAATCAGCAAACAAGAGCATTGTAGAGATAAGCTTCTGATTATCAGATAGAGATGCAAAGTCACTGAGCCATTTGCTAACGTAAAGTGTAGAGAACGGTAATGCTGTAATACACAGCAGAGGATTAAAAAATACAGACATAGATGACAGCGAGTGGACTGTGTCTGTTCTTTATTATTAAGAATATAGACATCCAGTCCTGTGCACTATATGTAGCCTGATACAGGATGATTGAGAGTATTAAAGAAATATTATTTATACTTCGTACATTCTACGATGCAAAGTTTTATCAAGCAAGGAAATTTTTATACCAAAAACTGATTATCAAGAAAATTTTTAATTAGTTTGGCTATTTGTAATACGATCTGTAATGAAAAAAAGTCGCGCGCGCGATCTTCTTAAAAAGATCTGTATTTCTAATGTATACTTCGTACATTCTACGATGCAAAGTTTTATCAAGCAAGGAAATTTTTATACCAAAAACTGATTATCAAGAAAATTTTTAATTAGTTTGGCTATTTGTAATACGATCTGTAATGAAAAAAAGTCGCGCGCGCGCGCGATCTTCTTACAAAGATCTGTATTTCTAATCGGACATAATGCAAATTCATAAACCAACCATTGTCATTAATATTTATATATCGATTGTGTTTTCACGCAAAAAGTTTTTTTTAGGTCTTCTAGAATTATATATAAAAATTGTCATATATATTGTAATATCGTCAAATTCTATATTTTACATTCACACGTTCACATTTTTTTTAGAAATATATATAGTACGACATATATATACGTGTAAATCTTAAAAATATCATTGTTACATATATGTTATTGAGTTATATATTTGAAATTAAATATCACTCACCACATATCCGCATGTTTTAATTGTATTTCCTCTCTCTGTAATTGATGCTTCACTTTATTGCCTTATTTCCGTTACATCCTAGAAATTTATTCTCGTTTTATAACACGATTTTTTTCATATCGAAATAATGAAAAATTTGTATCCGAGATATATATTTTCGAAACTCAACTAAAAAACACACGAGATTATAATTATTTGTAATGACCGCAATGCACTACATCTACGCGCTTCAAATCTATTAAGATTTGCATGAAGGCAGCAATCAACAATCCTTTACAAATATCAGACGCGTCATTGGTCAGTTCAGGCCGATTTCTGTGTACATGCTGATCTATGATTGGTGCATACGCGTCAACGCGGCTGCGCAAGTTTCTCCGGATTATTGCCGCTGTCAAGTCAGAGGACGGCCGACGCGCATGCGCAAGGCATGTTTTGAATTTGAACAAAGTTTAACGAGCGTTCAACGTGTCCCACGTCGCACCGAAGATCGTCGAGTCGATGATATTGTGCGTGCATGTGCGTTGATGTGTATGTTAACAAGTGTACGTGTTGTTCAAATGCGGCGGTAAGACCTGTGTTTTTCATTAGATTGTTAAGGATATCATTCACAATGTCGGACAGCATTAAAGTGGCCATCAAAGTTAGACCGCTCATCAAGCGAGAGAAGGACGAGAATTTGCCAATGCAATGGATGGTTCAAGGAAACAACATTGTGACTACCGATGTAGAATTGAGGAAGCGAGGCGACGGTGGATTTCAGTTTGGTACGAAACTTCAAATGCAAATATGAAATATATGTTCAAAATATATATCCCATTTACTTATTTTGATATAATTTGCTAAAAAATCTCGTGATGTATCGACGTATCAGGTTGGATTTTTTCTAGTTGCACTTTCTGCATCAATTTCCGTTTTTCATCTTTCCGTTTTTTTTTTTTTTTTTATAATATCCACCGAAGATCGTCGAGTCGATGATATTGTGCGTGCATGTGCGTTGATGTGTATGTTAACAAGTGTACGTGTTGTTCAAATGCGGCGGTAAGACCTGTGTTTTTCATTAGATTGTTAAGGATATCATTCACAATGTCGGACAGCATTAAAGTGGCCATCAAAGTTAGACCGCTCATCAAGCGAGAGAAGGACGAGAATTTGCCAATGCAATGGATGGTTCAAGGAAACAACATTGTGACTACCGATGTAGAATTGAGGAAGCGAGGCGACGGTGGATTTCAGTTTGGTACGAAACTTCAAATGCAAATATGAAATATATGTTCAAAATATATATCCCATTTACTTATTTTGATATAATTTGCTAAAAAATCTCGTGATGTATCGACGTATCAGGTTGGATTTTTTCTAGTTGCACTTTCTGCATCAATTTCCTTTTTCCGTTTTTTTTTTTTTTTTTTTTTTTTTATAATATCCGAATATGTATTTATTTCATTTTAGATGCAGGAAATGTAGAATAGAATGCAATAAAGAAAAACATCTGTTGTATTAATCTATCAATTAACATGTCGAAATTATAATTTGCACTTGATAAACCAGTTTTTATCTTTATTAAAGACTCGCCACATCTCTTATTTAGATTGATCCATTTAATCTTGCAGATCATATTTTTGACATAAACGCCAGTAACAATGATGTGTTTAATAATATCGTAAGGCCTATCGTTGACGCTGCTGTAAGTGGATTTAATGGCACAGTGTTTGCTTATGGACAGACAAGTTCTGGCAAAACGTATACTATGATGGGCACACCAGAGGAACTTGGCATAATACCTTTGGCTGTCGAATATATGTTTGATGCTATAGCTAATACTTCTGGACGAGAGTTTTTATTGAGGTTGAGATTTGTTTTCTTTTTTTCTGCTATAGTCTTATTCAAAGTGAGATAGTTTTTTAATTTTTATAGGTTATATTATATTACAATAAAATAACATCTTTACTCAAATTTTAATCAGCAGGACTGAGAGATCCTGATTTTTAACTTACCAGATAATTGTTCTAATATTGAACTCTCTATTCTGCTTCCTTGATATATTTATTAAGATAAAAGAATAATTTTTTAAAATCTGAATTAAAAATATTTTATGAAAAGATTATAGCACTTTTTATTTAATTTTTTAGAGTATCTTACTTAGAGATTTATAATGAAAAAGTCAATGATCTTTTAAGTAAAAGCTCAATAGATCTAAAAATACATGAAGACATAAATGGTCAAGTATTTGTGAAATGTAAAGAAGAGGTCACAAATTGTCCAGAGAAAGTTTTGTCCATGATGAATAAAGGTAATAAACACAGAAGAATAGGTGAAACAAACATGAATGAGCGAAGTAGCAGGAGCCATACAATATTCAGAATTGTAAGAATGCCAATTTTCTCTTTAATTTTTTAAATTAATTTCTTACAATTTCTCTAAAATTTTTTAAGATTGTCAGATGATATACATCTATATCTATGTAGTATATGCATATTGTCAATTTAAAATAGTTGTAAAAAAATTATATGCTGTCGTAGACAATCGAAAGTCGAGAAGCTAGTGCCGGCTCAGATGATGCAATACAAGTATCGCAATTAAATATGGTAGATCTTGCTGGTTCAGAGAGAGCACGGCAAACAGGAGCTACAGGAGAACGTTTTAAGGAGGGACGCCATATTAATTTATCTCTTTCCACATTGGCATTAGTAATAAAGCAGTTGAGTGAGTCGCAAGACTGTCAAAAGTATATAAATTTTCGAGATAGCAAACTAACGAGGCTACTACAAGCATCTTTGGGTGGCAATGCAATGACTGCGATAATATGCGCAGTGACGCCAGCTGCTTTCGACGAAACTCAATGCACATTGTCGTTAGTATTTTTAGTGTTTTTGTTTCTTAAATGACTTGTAACATAAGTATAGCATATTTTGTGCAATGTCAAATATATTTAATTTTAATGTATAGATTCGCGTCTAGAGCTCGAAATATAAGAAATAAGCCTGAACTGAACGAAGTTATGTCAGATGGTGTACTTTTAAAACGTTACGCAAAACAAATTGATAAATTACATGCAGAAATAGAGGTGAGTGTATATTATTATAAATATCTAAAAATCTTTCATTACTTTATTATATAAAAGATGTAGAAATATGTTGATATTTCTCAACAAATTTTAGATATATAAGTCATTCCTTATACACATTACAAAATGATAAAAGATCTATTAACTTATACGTAATCACAAATTTATTTCTTCAGAGAATGAAAGAACAAACTCGATCGACTGATTTTCAAGAAATGGAATCTAAAATGCAAGAAAAAGATCATGCTAATAAGTGTCTGAAAGAACGTATTAGATTATTGCAAACTCGAATAGTTCATGGTGATAATTGCAACAACACTGAATCATTCAAGCATAAAGAAAAAAGAAGACAGACTTGGGGTGGCTCTGCCAGAACAAAACAGGAAAATCCATTTCAAATATGCACGAATTTGTCACCAATCAAAGAGATATCACCTTTGAAATTGTATAGCAGAAAGATGGCTGATGTTGTGGATATATGTAGGTTTTGTTAACTTTTATATGATTCAAACAAAATGCTTTAAAAAGTTGAAAATTTAAGTTAAAACTATTTATGTAT